ATGATGATCAAACGAGAATCTGTTAAAATGCGTTGATAAGTGAAATAAGTTCATTCACGAGTCTTGATAACAATATAACATAATGCTGCAGCTACGCGTATAATTTGATACATCTAATTCAATAAATTCTCTCTTCACGATTATCTTTTCAATTTTTATCTTTAAATTTAAATCATCAAACGAGTCGTTTTGTCCCCCATATATCGAAAAATATAGGAGTCGACATGAAATATTGCGTTGCTCTCGATAATTGCGTAAATTTGTTCGCCGCCTTTCGCTCGCCATCGCTGTCATCGTCAATTTTTCCGGGGAAAAACAGTCCGTATTTGCCACTATCAGCGTCCCTCACACACCAAATTTCGAGGTATGTATCACTCGTGTGGATTGTTGGACGAGTGTCATAGAAGGTCGCAAGAGCGAAAGAGCCGGGGGTCGAGGTAAAGGGGGCTCTCGCCAGGAGAGAGGGTCATCAGTGCGAACAACGCACGTGCGTGTGAGTGCGTGCAATTTAATGATTTCCAGCCGGAATTTCGATGACGCCGGGAGTGCGGGGCGAGGGGAAAAGGAAGGGAGAGAGGGTCGGACATGGGGTGGGAGGGAAAAGGGGGAGGAAGGGAGATGGAGAAACGCGCGACCGGAAGAGAGAACGATCGAGCGCGGCCGCGAGTTGGTCAGGGCCGGCGCGTTTCCGCTCGCGAATTCCCGTGCAAGGGATGGCTGGAAAGAGAGAGAGAGAGAGAGAGAACTCGGAAAGAGAAAAGACGCTCGGCCGGGAGCGAGATGGGACGTAAATTTTCTAGCGGTGCGTTCATTTGTTCGTTGAACGAAATGCGAATGCATTATACATGGATTGCAGGGGACATTAATTTTCTGCCGTGGACGTGTAGTGGGCCGCGCGGGCCATGCCGGGTTGCAAAAGGGGTGGTCGAGCGCGCGAGGGAGTTGGGTGGCCATCCATCCGGTATATAACATCTACTCGGTACGGGTGCGACCGACCAGCACACACCACCGGTCAGACCGACGTCGAGGTGGTGGAAAAGGTGGGTAGGAGGGAGGTGGCGATTCCACGGCCTGTTTCGTGCTCACACGTCCAACCACGTGCGAGCTTTCGCCGGGTTTTCTACGTACTTTCGCGAGCCCGGTGATTTTGATGAGTGGAGCGGCGAGATGTCGGCGTCGCGCAAAAAAAAAAAGCGCGCGGAAAATCTCGCGACTGATCGCCGGACGATGACGGCGAAAACGCGAGATCTCGCCAAAAGAGTCGCGACTGCAACCGGCATTAAAGGGTCGCTGCTGCGCGGCGAAAGGGCGAACGGGGTGGGAAATCATTGGACGTTCTGTCAGAGGTGTTTGATATTCCGAAAATGATTTGCGCGAACGCTGCAACGCAGTGGAGGAAGAGCGACAGTGCGAGAGGAAAGGGAGGGGAGAAAGAGAGAGAACGAGAGGAGGATGTTAGAGGGTGTTGGCAGAGAGAGAGAGAGAGAGAGAGAGAGAGGCAGGCCAGGCCAAACGGGTAGAGAGAAAAAGAGAGAAAAAGAGAGCTCGAGGGTAGTAACCGTACGTCAAAATTAAATGTTGAAATTCGTGTAGAATGTCTGGCGCGATAAATTCATTCGTGCAACAATGATCACGATTTTTAATGGAATAAAATTGAAATTGTCCGGGCCCCGAAATGACGGATAGAATTTATGGCTTGCACGAAAATACAACGTGGCAGCAAATATTATATTTTACGTTACCCAACCAGAGCGATATTTCGAAATATTCAAACGCGAGATATTAAGAAAAATGCGTCAATATATTGAATTATTTTTTTTTTCAAACTGTATAACTGCATTGTTAGATTGAAACTATATAACTTCTCACATAACTAATAATTATTGTTTAACTATTGCACCTTCTGTTTCATATAAAGATATATCGGAATACTCGTAAAATTGAAAAGAAATTAAAAAAAAATAGAAAATGCTGCTGGATGCATGCTCAGCGAACTGCGCCGATTCATCAAAAGTTCTTTCACAATTCGTAATTCTTGCACTCGACAAAGGGTTTCAAAGAGTCGGGATTAGACCCTTCGAGCGATCCCTTCCTCCTCTCCCCTTTGTTGCTCCAGCTCTTGTCCTTTCGTTTCGCACGCGAGATTTTAAATTTAATCATAACTCTTCGCAGAATTCTCTCCGTGCGAGGCCACGTGCATTATTATTACGAATGGAAAGCTATTACATTATACAATGAGGAATCATTTAATTATTCAAAAAATATGAAATGCTTCCGATTTGATAAAAAGTGATATCCGAATGTGAAACTTCACTCTTTAATGATACATCATTAACGGTCAATCATTTTATCACGTTTGGATCATGATCGAATCAGCGTGGAATCTTGATAAGAATTAAAAGTCGGTTAACGATGTTTATATAACATATATAAATGACGTTTACCATTATACATTTACGGATTAATATCTTAGCACGGCCAATTAAACGATAACAAGGTAATAAAAAATGAATGCCGATTGCACGCTTGAAATACCAACATTTATACACACCGCCACCGCAATATCCTCTTTTTTTTTATTTATTATTACCGCGCGAGAGTACATTTGTGTCAGAGCAGAGTGTTTGTCCTATAATAGTGCTGGAATAATTGACTGCTTTCGTAGAAACCGGCCGGAGTTTACAATATTCGTTCTATGTCATTATTTCCCTTTTATGAGCTAAGAAAGAGAGAGGTGTATTAAACCCTCTCGCCACGTTTGTTTCCTACCGTCGCTACTTCCGGTAGCGCCAAGCGCACACAAAAAAGGTGAATATTACATATGTGCGAGCGTACACGTGGACGAACGCATCGTTCTACAAATAAATGTTTCAACCGTCAATTAAGCGCCGACAATAAGAAACCACTAGACTTTCCCCCAGACCACCGGTATAGCCGGTATATATTAATACGTTTTTAATTGTAGCGCGACAGAAAACATACGGTCTCGCGGGCGAGGGAGGGACAAGCCGAGCGTCCCTTCATAAAATTTCTATATTAATAGTCCTTTTTTTCTAACGTTATAATCCTTCTTCAACTCCGAATCGTCGTTTATAGCAGAGTTCAATTATTTTTGTCCAAGCGAAAACAAATTATTTCGATATTTATTGGAGAAAAATTTTAATTACACGCGACGAAATATTGTTTTATGTACAAGGATGTTATTTCGTTTTCTTCAGCCGCAGTTTCTCGAGTTATTTAATATATTATTACAGAGTGTATCAGTAATTATTACTCTAGCATATATTTCAGAAAAATGTAAGGTCAAATTTGCATAAATGCACGCGGAAGTGAATTCTTAATGAGAAATAAGTTGATGTATTAGAGTATGCGATAGAGTTTTATTTGATGTAAAAACCTTTGCAAATGCGTAAAGACGTGCGTTTTCTCCCTTCGTAGCTATTTCACATGAGAAATAAATACGAGCGATCAATTCGCTCGTTTTCTTCAGAGAATCCTCTAATCGCTTCCTCTAATAACAGACTTGCCAGAGCCGTACCGGCACCACTCAGAAATACAATTATACTTTTTTACCCATCGCTTCTATTGATTCCCATTATAAAATAATATGTGCATGTTGGAAAAAAATGCACATGTTTGATCGCGTTTTGCTTTTGCTCGCGGAAGTTCTAAATGTCAGCACGCGATAAAAGATTGTAGAATCTAATTTTGCTCGCTCGAGTTATTTTTATTAAATCGAACACGATGAAATTCTCCGATGAATCACGCGACTGAATAAAAGATGAATCCTGCGGAAGACGACTGAGAGATAAGAGAGAGAGAGAGAGAGAGAGAGAGAGAGAGAGAGAGAGAGAGAGCGGAAGGAACAAGTGCCCGGGGTAAAAAGGATTGGGGAAGAATGTCGATATTAATAAAAGTTAAATTGAGCCAATCGCTTGTAGGAATTAGAATCGAGTCCACTCGAGACGAACGGCGGCGAGTCGTGGAGAGAAGAAAAAAAAAACGCAATAAAAACGCAGCGGCAGCTGAAGTCTGCCTCTCGAACGCCGATCGATAGACGCGATTAAACAATCGAGGAGGCTACATTACTCTATCATTATTACGCGGGAGGAAGCGGGGGAGGCGTTTGAATATTCTTATATCTTGATACAAATGGAAATTTTCTTAAGACATTGTACAGAGTATACAGCTTTACGAATTTGTACAGGCAATATATTTGCACTTTGAATTTTTTACACATTTTCGTCGAGCTTGTTCGCACCTCCCTGCCCGAGGAGAAAAAAAAACACGACGTTTTTTTTCCCACCTTCCTACTCTTCGATGTAGATGTAGAAACCTGTTGCATGCCCGTGTAAAAAAAAAAAAAAGTCCCGGGGAAAAAAGCCGGAGAGTCAGTGACCAGCCAATTCACTTCCTTTTAAGCGCGTTTTTCCACATAGCTTTTACCTTTTAAGAGCGAACCGAGCGAATGAGAGAGACATACTTGGCGAGCTGACAAACGAGTCATTAATGACGTTTCAATCTCTTCATCAATCTTCGTCGCGCAGACTGCGAGGACAAAGTTGATATTGAATATACGATACGTTAGAGAGATGATACTCACTTTTATACGCCAATCACAAGTAAACGGTATAAATGGCTTAGGAATATGAATATACTTTACGCATGATTATAAGTAGTAGTTATATTACTAATATATTATATTATATAAATCATCATAAGAGAATAAATCCATCGAAAAATGAAAAGTCACTTATTTCTGAAAGTTTCTTTCGCAAAGTTTGATTATAGCGATAACGAAAAAGACAAAAAAAACCGCCGACTTTTCGTTTTTCGATGGAGAATGAAAAATTGCGAATTCGCGCGTGGCATGTGAATTTCCCGATCGAGCGTGTACGCCGGCGTTACGTGCACCACCCCGTCGCGAGCGTAACACAATTTACGTACGCTCGTGCACAGCCGCACGAAATTCTAATACGCCTTACGGTATCTGATCGCAGGTGAACGACCGTACAAGTGCCATTTACCGGACTGCGGGCGGGCCTTCATCCAACTGTCGAATTTGCAGCAACACCTGAGGAATCACGACGCTCAGGTGGAGCGGGCGAAGAACCGGCCGTTCCACTGCAACATCTGCGGCAAGGGCTTCGCCACGGAGTCCAGCCTCCGTACTCACACGTCGAAGGTCAGTCATGTATGTACCAAATCCGACGTCCAAATTCGCAAAAATTCGCTAAAAATTCACGCGGTGCCGGTAAATTAACTTGAAGGGGATCCGATAATAATCAATGGAAAGGAGAAGGAGATCGATCGACATCGATCTTTCTTCGCGCGTCAAATACTTTCGCTAATCGCTCCTCTAACGACCGTTAATCTTGCATTAACTCTTTCTCGCGCGACACGTTCAGTTACTCGTTACGCACGCACATGGTGGTGGTGGGTTCACGCTTGCCTCGATATATACTCTCTGTAGATGGATTCCCGTTTAAAGCGCTCTTTGTGTGTCCGCCGTTTCCTTTGTTCCGTTTCGAGGGCTCCCTATATAATCGATGCGTCTCAAGCAAGTTGAAATAGTTGCCGGAGATGCGCGGTCGACGTATCGAGCTTGAAAACCGGCAAGCAACATCAAGCTTGAGAATAAAACATTCAGATTCATCTCAACCTAAATAACCGCGCCATGATTTCTAGTCTCTCCTTATTGTAAATAGCATATTTATTTTTTACCAATAACAAACACGCGCGAGTGGCTTTGGATAGTTCCTCTGGGATCCTTCGCGGGTTTGCTTTGGGCTTGCTTTTGCCTCTGGATTATCATTACGACGCTTATCATTACGAAATCGACGTTACCACGATCCGAGAAAGCCGAAAGGAGATTATTATCGTCTGAGAGAATTTACAGAGATGTATTTCAGCGATCTTCAAATAAAAAAAAAAAAAAAAAAAAAAAAAAACACGACAGAACCTGAAGAAACTGATCACGAATAATCGATATCCTCGACAGAAATTTGGCGAACAAAGATGTCACACGAGGGGCGAGAAGCCCTTTAATACGTCACGAGCGACACGGATCGCTGGATTTTCTCATAACGAGTCTTCATGAATGAACAATCGTTGTTTACACACGTACAGACTCCGCACGGTGGCCGAGGGTGCGTGTCACCGACTGGTTATTAGAGGGCCAGAGGTTTAAAAAAAATAACAAAAAAAAAGTAAAACGCGCGTTCCGATTTGGGAGAAAGACCCCCATGCCCGGTTAATCGAATTCACCCCTCGCTCGCGTGGAATCGCGCAGCGATTACCAGCGGAATCTTGTATCGTGGGGCAGTTTTTTTTGGCGCCGCCGCCCCACCCGACCGGCAACTGAATTTCTCAACCCTTTCGCCTTCCGCGCCGGGCACATGTCTCGACGAAAAAACGTGGGAAGGCATCTGTCGTCTCGTCCGCGAGAGAGCTCTTTTTCCGCTCCTTCGTACATCTCTCCTTCTCTTCCTTCGGTTTTCTCCGCCGCGAGAAATGACACGTCGAGTCTCGTTCGTTCCCATAATTATTGCCGATTGTGTTATATAACGGCGCACGTAAAATAGCGTTTCTAACAACCAATTTGTCTTAACCGGATAAAATATAAATGACAACATTATATATGTCGCGAAGTCCTTGGGAATTAAACGCTGATAACAAACTCTGTGATCGAATACCTATATATTTAGAACGTAGATTATTTTTGGACCGTTCGAATCGCGGAATCAGGTGCGGCGCGTCTAGGCCCACGCGTGATTTAATCCGTTCGCACGTCCGGGGATGCCCCGGCAATAAATATCGTTCTTTTAACGCCCGGCTTATCGAGCTCCTCTAATTGAAACCTAATCCACGGCTAAAGCTTTCAGATTATCCCCTTCCGTCGTTTCCCGCACGACCTCGATAAATCTGCCGTGAAGTCACGACCGACGGCCCCTGGCCTTACCGACAAACCCCCGTCCGATCTTTTTTTTTCTTTTTCTTTCTCTGAAAAATGCGCAGTGTTACGAAGAATGGACCGCTGCTTTTTTTTACGCGTCGCGCGATAATCCTCGCAATAATGAAAATGTTTTTTGCAGTCGAGTTATTTAATCCTTCGTTTGTTGGAATAACGAACGAAGCTTGATGAATTTTCCAGTGGTAGTAGGGCTCGCCCTTCGCGAAATTATTCCTGAATGGCAGACTTACGCGCGCGAGATCAATGCAGCTGGATTAAATATTAATACGAAATATGCATCGAGCTACGAACCATATACATGAAGCGAAATTACGGTGTCCAGGCTTGTTGGCAAAAATATCAGAGAAGCTAAATGAGGAAAAAAGGCACGGGAAGGAATGAGAAGAAGGCTCGGAAGGAGACGAGACAGAGAAGAAGAGAGAGGATCTTACGAAAAGAGCGCGACGAAGTAATTAAAAGCCGCCGGCGCGAGCGCGACAGAAACAGAGTACGCCCGCTGGAAATAAAACGAAACGAAACAAATGGAGAGCTCGAGCCCATCTTCCGCGGCTAATCGAATTTTCGCCGGGCCAGATTTCTTGAAATTGTTTTCGCTATTTCCAGACCGCGCCTAGCCGCCCGTCTTCCTCGCTACTACCCCCGATAGCTAATGGATCGTTGTTAAAAAAAATAAATAAATAAATAAAAAAGAGGAAAAAAAGAGAGAGTGGAAGAGCAACCGAAATATGAAAGAGCACGAGACGCAGAGAAAGCGAAGAGGAAAGAGAAACGGCTCACGGAAGTACGGCGGAGAGTAAGGGGAAATGAAAGAGTTACGCTCCAGGTCGAGGCCTGGCGTGTCGGCGAAACATTATCCAGCTCTAAGAAAGACAATACACCCGGAGTACAATATTATAATAGGCCGGAGCGTAAATGTATTATAGAGAACGATCGGTAGCCCGGGCATAGAAACTCGTCTATGGTACCTACACACCACCTCTTCCTCTCTCGTCCTCCTTCTCTCTCTCTCTCTCTCTCCTCATGTATCCTATTAACTGTTACCCTCTTCCCGCTCGGCTCGGAACAGGGGCGGATCATCGCGACGATACACCGCCACGATATGTCTTCGGTTAATACGCCCATGATCCTAAATCCCGCATGGCCGATCGACGAGAGAGTGTGTCTCCGCATCGAAATTTCCTTCTCGTTAATCAGGGTATAGAATCTTGCTTGACCTCGTCTAATACGTATATTTCCCGCGCACGAGTTTTCTCCCTTACTTTCGGCTTGAGATTTTTCAAAGATTCGTCCGATGATTTCAAGAAAGAGAGTTGGAGACGGAGCAAGAGAGAAAAATGGGAATTTGCCTGTATAAATTAGCGAGCAAAATTCGTGAAAAACGATTCGTCAAAACGACATTTCGCAAATTTAGCCACCCCTGGTCTCTCTCTCTCTCTCTTTCTCTCTCTCTCTATCTTCGCTTTCTTTCTTTCTCCGTAAGTCTCAGCCACTTTCGCAGCCTTATCGTATTTATCCGTAGTTTAACGGTACACACAAGGGATGAATGTCCGACACGATACAAACCCTCTCGCCTCTAAGGGACCTTCTTCTCTCACCTCCGGAGCTTTCCCGTCTCATCCCCCTCAGAACCATCCTCCGCCCCTTCTTCTTAATTACCCCGGACGCGCGCGGCTCGGTAAAAACTCGTTAGCCATTAGATTTATTTTCTCTCGCCACGGGGATTTATCCCTCCTCCCCTCGCTGCACTAAAAACCGCGCGATGATTGTGTGTGTATCTCGTTTTGACGCTAGAATTTTTGTTCTTGTTTTACACGACGCACCATCGTCGTTCGCCGCGTGCGGATTGATCGCCTGCAATAAATGTAAATCCGTTTGTTTGCCCGAGGAAAGGGTGGGAGGGAGATTTTCAACCGCTTATCGCGTCGTATTTTCGCCGACACGGGGGGCGCTAATTAATTACTATGCTCGCGGTGTATATTTACACGCAGCGTGTTTTTTTTTCCTCATTCGTTCTCCGCGAGAGTGTGCACACATGATCGGTATATGAATACTCTTGAAAATCTAAACCTATGATTGACGATTTAATGGTATCGCATTAATTCAGATTGATCTCTATTTCATGCTGGTCTCTCTTTGTCGCAGTGTTCGAAGTACCCATGGCAACGATTAAAGGTAAAACGATCGGGTCAATATATGGGAGATGCCCATGGGAATTCCTTTCGACTGTAATTTCAACTCGTTTCGCGGCGCGTTTACGTGCGCGTTCGTCGCACATGTAAAATTGCGGTTTCCGATTTTCATTATAATAATCCATTCGTGCAAGACACACGTACAGATATATATATATATATACACACACACACACACAGACATACATTTATATACATGCGCGCATTGTTGCAGGTTACTCGGTGGTTTTCTCGAAACGCGTGAAATTATGATAGCGTTGTAGCGCGAAATTATGTTGACGCCTCGCATTTTTTATGCGTCTGATAAACGTTATCTATTTAATTAACGACGCGTCGCGCGTAAAATTATGTGTATATACATATGTATTGTGGACAAAGTCGCTGCCTAATTGATCTCATGTCGGGAAGATTGCGAAACGATTATAAGCCGGCTCTTGTTCTTCCTTTTCTTTTTCTTCCCGTGTCACGATCATGAGTACGCAATTCACTATTGTTTCATGTCAGAAATTGCAACAGTCATGGAGATGTATGACGATGTATCACCGAAGAGTCATATGACGAGCATTTTTGCCCGTCGATCGCTAATTACCGCTTCTTAATTTCGGGCTACTCTTCTAATTAAGCAAGATTCACACTTCACTCTCCAAATCCCTTTCCGTTCCTGTCTCGAATTCCCCGTACGCGGTCTTTCTCTCTTTCTCTATCTCTCCTCCTCCCTCTCTTTCTTTCGTCGGTAAACATCACCGGCTGGCGAATCTCCAGAAGGACTTTTCGCTCTTTGTCTCTTTTGCGGCATTAAAATAGAAAAGTGGGACGGCCTTTCTCGGCAGAACGACGCGTAAATCGGACCGCTCTTACGAGATCTTACCGTTCCATCATTTTTTCGATAGCAATTTTCGTCGCACATACTCGCTTTTAGAATATCTCAACATTCGCGAGTCACAAAATTTCACTTCATTTTATTTCGGTATTTATTACAACTACTTGTTTTTCATCATGTACTCTTCATTTTCGCGAATCCATTTTTCCGATCGCGCCCTTTGAATTCCTCTTCTCTCTCACTCCGCGACATTAATTTTTTACCCCGCCTCCATGGCTCTCTCCCTCTCGATTATTTTTTTCTCCATGCTCGATCACCAGCGCGGACACTAATGAAATCATTCCCGTGGCATTTCTGATAGGGTGGGATTTTGTACCCCATTGTACCGACGCCCCTTCGCGCTCTTTTTTTTTCCGCTCGTCTAGTCGAACGCGTTCACGACAGATCCGGGTCTCCTATTGGCACAACACGGAGGGTGCTCCGTCGACAACCCTCATAACGTTAGGTAGACTCGTTTAGATAGACTTTTTTTTCTCTCATTCTCGCCTTGTATCACGTCAGCGACCGATTTTCGCGTGCGCGTGTTACGCACGAATTACCAGCGTACGACTCTTGGAAGTGGATTAATAACACGGGACGACGATGAAGAACGAATCGCGGGGTGTCTAACGACGCATATTAATTTTTATCGATCGCATATATGCCCGTATATAATTTTTTTTCCCGCCGAGAGAAGAGACATTGGACCGTGAAGTGAGCCGAGGAGAAAATTAATGTAACTATTTAATTGTTGAATGAGATCATATTTTCCAATTGCGATAAAATTATTATTCTTGAACTCTCAGAGAAGTTACTTTATACATCCGATCGATATCTTTTATATACATCCTTGGACTTTCGCGTTATTTGTGTTCCTCTCGTCGTTCGTCCCAAAAAGCTCCGAAAGCAGTTATAAGTTATAAGTCAGAGACGGAGAACAGGAATCAGGAATTTTTGGTGTCTTCCTTAATCGAGAGACAAAGCGTTCTCATCTCGAGAAAATAATGTTCGCGCGAACAAACGAAACGTAGTGAGCTCTTTCTTTCGGACGAGAGTAAAGGAGGAGATGAGCAAACCGGTGAATATCTCTTCGTGGATTCCGCGAGCCGCGCTGGAGCAACGAACAGCCGAAGTATCGTATTGAAGGTTGTCTGCCGGCGAGTCTCGCGGCCTCGTCGCGGTTAAAAAGCCAAGGAAAGACGGCAGCGAAAAAAAAAGAAACGACGGAGGGCGGGAGAAAAGAATTGCGCGCCGCTTGCAAATGGCCTTCGGATTTTATCGTCGCCCGAGGAAAAGAAAGGAACGAATGCACATTGTCCATTATTGGCTACATTTAAATTGCAATTTTAAATTGTGAAATCGTCAAAAATAATGACGTAGTTTAAGACAAATAAAATGCAATGCACGAATAAAGAAAGAATATGTTTCATCAGGATATACCTATATCTCGCAATCATCATACTTGAATAGCATATTTTGGAGATCAATCGGAAAAAAATCTCAATGAAAAATGTGGAAATTACGATAAAATGTTCGAATTATAATTTTTATATGATCAAAACTGATTATTTTTAATTTTTACAGTTTGCGATATCAGACATCATTAAATATGAATGCATTATGAAAAATGAGGGCAAAATGGCGCATTACAAAAGCAAATACAATTAATAATTCCTAATATATATTTTTTGTTCAATAAAAATTGATAAATTGATAAATTGATAAATTGATAAATTGGAATGTATTATATGTGATTGTGAAAGTTTTATTTATTTTATTTATATTTCTAACAAATCAAAGATATAAAAAAATCTCTGATTATCATGCTTTTTTATACACTAAATTTTGTACACAAATTATATAATTAAAGTTAATTCTAAATAGACATGAAGAAGATCAAATGCAAACTTCAAATTTTATTTAATAAACTATTTTAATCAAAGTATATTTTTCTCTTCTATTTTTTGGATTTATCCTTTTTTATAGTACTCCCATAATACTTACTCGCAAAAATATGGTCAGTTATTATCACACTAATTATCAGAATATAATAATTTCGTGACAATTTTGCACAGCATTTTCGACATCACGCGTCGTGCACTTTGTCATATTACGATGGAAAAATTACGCAAAAAAATATGATCATACAAAACTATCATTCACACGACATTCGCGACATTCACGACATTGTGGCAAATTAGTAGCAACAGACGAATCTTGAAGGAAATGAAAGTTCTTTACTTATTTAATATAACAAATATTACATGCTCGCGTACTTGAAGACAATTATACTTTGCATTATTATATAAATGTGTAATAAATACACAAATTAAAATTAAAGTTATATATTTGCGAAATCCGAAAATATGGTTGATTTCGTTCACGCGATGAATTTCTCTATTAAATAAATCTTGTGAAGTACTCATTTTAACAAATCACCGACATATAGGAACGCTTAATTTATGCTATGCTGTGTAGACAAATATTAAAATATCATTAAATACGAGATTAATTATGAATATACTTATTAATAAAACACGTTATTGTGTCGCGTAATAAAAAATTGAAAAGTGGTTTTATTCTGATATTGTGTGTGCAATATGATTAAGAAAATCGATTAAATGGCAAATTTAAAATATGATTTGAAAATGTATAATACAAATTTTATTTTGAATAAAATCGTGATTTTAATCAATCAAGAATGAAATTAAATTGCTGCAAAAACTGTGATGATTCAAATCTATGCTTTATTATTATTGTACAATTTTACTTCTTTTAGAATGTAAAATTTTAGGAAAAAATCTATATTAATAACAATATAATAATTTTTCCATTTTTGATCAAAATAAAAATAAATTTTATCTTTCAAATTTAGAGATTTATTAAGTCACTGTAAAATCTATAAGACGACAACTCAACTCTGAAAATCAATCGCAAATAATAAATCGGTACTAATCTATAATTCGAACATTATTACCTATTTTAATATCAAGAATATTCTAATTAATTTTCATAATATGCTATCGATATATTTTATGATGCGAGATTGTAAGATGTGCCATTACATATTCGAATGTCGCAGATCACGGACGACATTAATATTGATTGCATACACCTGCGTAAAAAATCTCCCGCCTCGATTTGTTCTAATCGCTCCGCTAACGAGATCTCGGCCCTCGATCAAAGATGATCCCGACTCTATGAACACAAAATGGCCACATCGCGGCCAACGTTACGCATCGCTACGCATGTGCTCACACCCACTTCCTTTTTACGCCACTCCCTGACCCGGGCCCCGAGCATCGGGCCTCAAGGAACGGATAATCTACAATCGAGATTGCCGGAAAAATTGAGGAACCAATCGGCGCGATAGAGCGCAAAAAAATCCTAGAGGTTGATCATGTCGGCCGAGCAGTCTGACGAGCGAATGAATTTTCATCCGACGATTCATAGTTATCGCCCGGCTTAATCGAGGAACCATAGAATGTTATTTCTCGTCTCTCGCGGCGTCTAGTTATTTGCAGCGCGACGTTAAAAATATTACTGGATGCGGACGTCGCTCCGCCGACCGTTGTATTCGCCCTCGCGTTATCCAACCATCGATCATGTCCGCGATATCGATCGGCGTCGCTAAAAATTTATTTAACCATTAAAATGAACGAAATCGCGATTATTTATGAAATAACTGAAATAATTTTGACACATGCGCTTTCGATATTTCTTTCATATTTATTTGCTCGCTTTTAATGCAACGCGAGTGCTTCGAAGCAGAAACAAAGAATCAATCGCAACTCTCGTTCTCGCCGAGAGATCGCTTCTTTCCGTTTCTCTACGTACTTCTATCGAGGTGAAAATCCTGGCGCGAAATATAAAAATGGACAGATAGACGCAGAGGGACCAGGAAGTGAAATTGGGATTGGTAGCAAGAGAGCGGAGTGCAGCAAACTGCGCCTAGCATACAGCCTCTCGCAAGAGAGAGATGAATCTGGTCACGGCGGATCATAAAGTCCCTCAGGGATTCGCCCACGCCGCGTCCACTCTCTCGAGCGAGTTAAAGAGAATAAGCTGAGAATAAGAAAGAGAAAGATATAAGGAAAGAGAAAGAGACGAAAGAGGTATGACCGTGGCGAACGGGACGAGAAGAAGGGAAAGAGCGTCAGAGAGGAGTCGAGGCACTCTCGCACGGCGCAAAAAGCGAGGATGCAAGCAAAAAAGGAAGAGCGCGACGAAGAAACCGGTTTTTTCCAGTTGGGCCAGGTCGGGGCGTCGAACCTAGGGGGACCGCAGCTTCCCTCTGAGAATAACTTGCATGCAGCAGCGTCCTCGTCGTCATCTTCTCAACGCGTACGCGGCTGCCCCAGGTTCGGGATAAAAAAGGAGATAGAAGGCATAAGTATGCCGGCGGTCGCGGCCACCCACTCTCTCGCGAGTTTATCGCGGGACAAGAGTGGAGCCAAGCCAAGGAGAAGAAATATGCGCGAGAACGCGATGAACGCGACGAGAGACGCGAGAAAAGCCGAGAGAGGAAGACCGGAAGGAAGACGCCAAACGATGAGACGCGATTACTCACTTTCTATATACCCTTTTTTTTTTTACTCTTTTTACCATGCCGACTTGCTTACTTACAAGCGAGAAAAATCGATAGAAAATCGGAATCGCGCCGGCACTTGACATCTGGTCATTAAAAATGTTGAGAGGCAGAAAATACGAAGAAACTTTAGATAAGTGTATTTATTTATAAAGAAGATTTATCGCGCTTATATAAGAAGAAGAAACTTGTAAAGCCGAGCGTACAAAAGTATGCTCGCATTTAAGATTTGAATAATCATACCGATAACGAAGAAAAAGGCTGCGAGAGAAGGCGACATATATAATGTAAGGCGACAGTATTAAAGAAAAACATCGATTTATCAGAACTCGTTTGAATTTTTTTCTTTTCTTTTCGTTCGCGCCCGTTGCTGCAACGCGTTCGCGATTGTCCCAGGTCCGGGATAAAAAAAAGAACGATCGACGCACAGAAAGATCCAGGGCGCGTGGAATGCAGGAGGGTGACGAGAGGAAAGAGAGGCGAAAAAATATGGGAAAAAGAAGACGAAGTCGCGAATCGGAGAACAGGAAGGAAAAGAGAAACGGGGGACCCCGAAACTCTCTTTGAGGTCATTGCCGTCCGGTCTCGTTTTAGCCCGTTCACTTCTCCTTCTTTCGCGCCCTTTTCTTTTTTATTATTTTTTTTCTTTTCTTCCTGCTGCCGTTTTAAGCACTCTTTCAAGCAAGTACGACCGCCGCCATGTTTTTCCTCGGGCCCGTGTGCATCTACCGCCGTGTATGCGTGCAAGTAACCTTCGCGTGTTCGGATAAATGAAAGAGAAGAAGAAAAAAGAATGACGGGGGGGATGCAAGAGAGATGGAAAAAAAGACGCGAGTAACGCTATAAATTGGTTTCTTAAATAAATCGCGCGATAAGACAGAGAGCGAAAAAGAGAAAAAAATCATTCTCTATCTGGCATTGAGGACGTCGAATTTCTCACACATTCACGATTTTATTTTAATTTTCATTAATATGGCCGTTGGTAGGGCAACAGACTCGAAGATGAAGAAAAACCGCGAGATAGATCTCGTTGATTTAACGTTAATACAGCAAAGCATAACATAAAAGGAATACAGAGCCGAGAATGTGCTAGCAACGGCCATAGTAGTTAAAATTGATGTATGGTACAAGCTATAGTCATTCCATGCTTCGCATTCCCGTTCATGGGTGAGGTCGCGTGGGGTCGATCGGAGGTCCAAGGTCGACGAAAGTGGTCGCTTTGTTTTCGCGACGTAACGTCTGGCATCAGCCTTTAGCTTTAGTTCGTACGTGTATACGCGAGGCGAGGCCGATGCCGGCAGCATTTAACCGACGAAATCCCTAATCGCGGTTACGGATTAATCCGCTCCGATCGTTCCTCGGACCTCACGCTTCCACATATTTGTCTGTCTAGGCTTCGCTTCGAGTTTCCCCGATCGCCATCCCCCTTCCTCCTTCATCCGAACCGAGTGCTTTACTCCGGTATTAAAAACGATATTTTTCATCGGTCAAGACTCTTTCTATACATCTCTGCTTTTACGTCGACATCACAAAATTTAGAAATTTTTTAACAAAATTAGAGTTAATAACGAGAAAAATTTGACAAGAGCGTACATATGAGCACGGTACTCCTTTCAATAGCGATGCATTGGATATTACGAATGTAATTCCAATGATATCAAGATTTTTATCCTCTATTCCTATCCCGTAAATAATCCAAGAGCTAGCTACAGATCTTTTCAGAGATCTTTACCGACGATTCACTTGCCGCAATCTAACATTCGCGAACCGTACGAAATTCATCTTTAATATAATAATTAATAAATATACATACATATAAAGTTGACAAACAGAGAAAAAAATATAAAGAGACAGATTATTTTTCGTTCGTTAAGCAGTGAATAAATTGCGGCAGAGAATGAATCATTGATAAAAAATTTAAAAAATCGATGTATTTCGAAGAAAATTTCGCATTTTTTTTTTCTTTTTTATTTTTGTCATTTCGATCTTCGTTTCGATCGCACTCGACCGACTGAGAACCCAGCTAAGGCGCGATACCACAAAGTTCCTACCAGACACACTCGACACGAATTCCCTGTGCAAAGGAGTAGTCTGTGGTGACGGCGGTTTATTGGTGCCTTAACTCTCACTGGTCAATCGTTCTGTTCTGTGCCCCGCCTGTCCTGCGCTTCTGGTTCGCAACTCTGTGGTGGTATTCTCTGGGTCGGCTCTCTACTACCGGTGCGCCGCGTGTGTGCCTGCTACTTCCGGTACTTCTTCTTCCGGGCCCGCAAAAAAGGAGTTGCAACAGCGTGTTGTGTTCCAGCAACACGCCGCCCTGATCGGCGGCCCGAACGCAACCAGCTGTCCAGTATGCCACAAGCTTTTCCTCGGCGGTGAGGCACTGATGGAGCACATGAAGCACACCCACAAGGACCCGAACGCCTCCGGAGTTGCCAGTAAGTATTGAAAAATCGCGTACCGAACGGCCCTCTCGGCCGGTCGTCTATGTCTCTCTCTCCTTCCCTGCGCGCGTTGCTTTCTCTCGTATATTTCCCTCTGTTCGCGCACCTACTAATCTTCGTGAACCATAACCGATCGATTAACTCGGAATCTTGCTGTAGCGGAATGCGTCATTGCATGAAACGGATTGCTTGAGAATGAAACCTTGACCGCGTCGTTTCTTCACGACTAATCAACCAAGTTAACACCATATATACTATATATATATACATATATTTCTCGCGCGTTTAACTTTTGGAGAATTCAGCTCTGTTCTTTTTGCCCTAACCGCATTTAACCCGGATTCTTAATCAGAGTCCTTAACTAGAATCGCGAAGAGGAATCTGTGTAGAAGGATTCCTCAAAAAGAGAGAGAGACAGACATAGACGCGAGAGGGGCGACCTTATCGTGAGTAAGGCTAAGAGAGAGGTGGAGCAACCGCTCGTCGAGACACGAGGGGTGGTTCGTTCTTTAGCCTTTAAGTTACGTTTCTCATCCATCCCAAGAACTTGCTTTGGCGCGGGCGATACGCATACATTGTCCTTGTTCACTTCTTCGTACTGTTTTTCGCCTGGGCGGGAAAGGCGTGTAGCATTTGGCACATACTCGCCGACTAATACTTGGGTATTATACTCGCTAATACATATACATATATATAGACGGTGCTTCGAGGGTGTCTCGTTCGACCTCTACGCGTGCCTTGATATATATGCGTGCGTGATACGTGTGCGGACTCGTGGACGTACAGAGAGAACAAAAGAGTCAACCCGAAGAGTGTGTCTCTTCGTTCAACTTTAACACGGGGGAATTGTTTTGCACCTTGTGATTGTGACTGGCGCCATGGTGGTCTTCGATGAACCGACACGGTCGGCATTGAAACATGGATCGCTAACGGATTGCGGATCCTATTGCGAAACGCTGCCAATACGTGTTGAGAATGTAATGTTGCATTATCGTTATTTATAGCGCCAGGAGTTAGACCGAGCAAAGATTGACGAGACTGGTAGCACGTGCAAACGGATAACATCTCTTCGCTCGTTTCAGATATATAGCGGTCATTCCGATTATATAAGCTATAGTACATCTCTTTTGGAGGATGTCTCGATATTTTTCTCTGTGCGTCCCCGTACGTGCAATGCGCGCGAGTACGTCTTAGCTTTTGAGGCCGGTAACCTTGCTCGTGAAAGGGAGCCTAGTAGCGCGGTGACGACACGGATACTTCTGCGTGTCCCAGGTCAGTGCTCTCCTGGTCCTTGGCTATCCGCGTCCGTAAGGTCTCCCTTCGCCTTCGAGGTCGACCGGAATCTATGCGTACGTATGCGCGCGTGTTCACGCGAGTGCGTGATAAATATGAGGTGGGGGAGGAGAAAAAGAGAGCGAGAGTGCGAGAGTGCGAGAAAGAGAGAAAGAAAGAAAGAAAGAGAGAGAAAGAGAGGAATGAGAGGGAAACGTGATATGATGATAATGGTGGTGGAGGAGTTTGGTGAGGAGAAGAACGGCTTTCGTTCCTTGGGACGCTTTATCCTGCTTGGCATTGACCTTGAAATTGTGTCGCCCTATTGTTCCCTCCGCTGACTGCACAACCTCCGTTGCCGGGGTTTACCTAGCGAAGCGACGGACCGCCAACCACCCGTGCCCAGTGTGCGGGAAGCACTACGTCAACGAGGGTAGCCTTAGGAAGCATCTGGCCTGCCATCCTGAGACCAGTCAACTTAGCACGAGCCTCAGGATGTGGCCGTGCTCGGTGTGCCAAGCCGTCTTCACTCATGAGAGCGGTAAGTATTTAACCCACGTAAACGCGAATCGCTCCAAGTTGGCGCGCAAACTTGATAGTAAACCCGTTTCTCAGTTCCTTTCTATGCTATAAACTTTTCATTTTCGTTCTGCGGAATTATATAATCGTATATCTTTATATATATATATATGCACCGAACACTTACATATATACATTTATATACCGTTTACATGCGGTAGCGCGAGTTCGAATCCCTGTACTGTGACCACGCTGGTTTTCTCTAATGTTCTAAGGTCTCCTGAGCCACATGGAGCATATGAGGATGGACCCGAAGCATCAATTCGCGGCGCAGTACGTGCTAAGCCGCGCGGCCGCCGAAAGGCGGGAGAGAGAGATCCTCGCGAGTTCGAGTTTAGGTATAAACGTCAGACAGACGATACGAATTCTCTAAATTAACGTTAAAACGTGTGCGGCGTCGTGATGCTAAATAAAAAATTACACGACGTTGTACGACGCCGACGCATCTAACCGTACGCATTTTAACACGACGTCCTTGCGCTGTACAGGAGCGGGTTTGGGCGTGTTGGGCGGAAGTCAATCCGGAGGACCGCAAAACTTGCAACAACCACCTATGTGCCCGTCGCCGTCGGCCCATTCGGACAGCAGCAGCGGCAACGGAAGACTGTCGTCGGCCGGTAGTGAACCTGGTACGCTACGATACTTGTTCTACGTCTACTACTTACAAACGATCGCATACCACGTATCTAGATATAATAGATATATAATGTTAAAGTTTTTTGCCCGAGCACAGTTTGTAATTTCGCCGTTATTCGTCTTTTTTTTCTCTGATTTCGTTAATATGACATAACTCTGTTGTGAAGTACCATTAGTGTGAATTTATTGTAGTACAGTAAGTTACATATATATACACGTTTATGAATATATGAATATATATACTTGAGTTCGAAATAAAATGCATACGAATTTCTGGTCTGAGTAATAATTCTCTCATGTGAACGGCGTTCGCTACACGGTCTACTTTTTCATGGGCGGAATCACGCCTCTCTTTCTAACGCTTTAGCGTGTCTATTTATATATGTACCGACGCGGACATACATATATATATATATATATATATATATATATATATATATATATATATATTACCTAGCTAGGCTAGTAAAACATGCGCAAAAAATCCCGCCCGCCCACTACCCTGTACATACTGACGAGAGCAGATTTCTGCGCAGGCACCGGTCTACTGAACAACAACAACAACAACAACAACAACAACATGGCATCGCCGGGACCGAGCGGCAACAAACTTAGCGAGATGCTGCGAGCGGGTAGCCAGCCAGGCTCAGCGCAGCAGTATCACGACGAGATGCATTCGCAGCAACAACGCATGGCTGTCATGGCCGCCGCCGTGTCAGCGGGTAAGAGAATAAGAAATAAAAAAATTAAATAGAACTTCCCATCCCTCCCCCTCCAAAAAAATATATCCTAGCCGTGTCAGTCTAGCGAGAATCGCTCGAATGAGAATCGAGTCTCCAAGGACTGCGTTATCACTTATCAACGCGAAATTGCACGAGAGGGGAAAGCCGATAGCTCCGTTCCAATTATTGCCGATAAAACTTGATTTACAATGCTGTTTCTCCCGATCGTCAATGACGATGCTGCATTTGCGCCTGTCTCCGAAGGAAACGCGAAATGATTGACGCATTAAAATATTCTCGAGACGTAACTTTTATTCTCGAGACGCAAATATATTTATTGTCGCTGACGGAAATAGCGCGTTATAGAAATGAAACTGTCGATGTCTCGTAAGATTATTAGCGCGAATTAACTTGGTAAAATTTATCGCATACATTGCGAAGATTCGTTGTAAACTTGTCAAGAAACTCGTCGAGAAACTCAAAGAAATGATTATACCAGCAGGAAAAACAAATATCAGAAAATTACTTACCCTGACACGTGCTCTGCAGCTCATAATTTCATCGCGGAGTTCAAGGTTCTGAAACACACATTATACAGAATATTTAATAATTTAGAAAAATAAAAAATATGTATATGTAATATCTACTATATTACTTATTTTATATATATATATATATTTGTAATTAAAAATTAAAAATACAATATTTCCTTTTATCGGCAATGTCTTATTCTTACGAGCCAAGCGAGATGTGAAAGCGATATTTCTGTTAGGATTGCAAAATTCCGTGTCGCCCAATTTGTCGCCGGTCGACATGGCATCGCTGGCGGCGGCTATGAGAATGGGCAACAACGGTGACATGAGCGGCAATAATCAAGGATCGACCGGACCCCAGCAGCAGGGAGTGCAAGCGAGCGGACCGGAGCAAGCTCTGAGGATGCATCAGGCGGAAGCTTTGCTCCGTTCCCAAGCGGAAGCTGCCCTTAGACTCGCGGTAAGAAGAGAAAAATCTGGTTCTTCGTACAAATAATAAAGTTATAAAACGCGCGCGCATAATGCATTCTAAAATTTTAAGTATCTAAAACTCGGAAAAAATCTAGAGAAAAATACATAAAAAATTCATACATTGTTATATTCTTTTAGAAAAAGATATAATTCTCGAGATAACCCTTTCTCGTATTTTTGCGCACAGGTATCTCAAGCGGCGGCAGCCGCAGCGAGTTCCGCGGTGGGTGGTGACGTGAGGCATCATTTAGGACAGCATAATGGAGGCAGCACTTCCGGCATGCCAGGACATCATACGAATCAACAAATGTCCCAACAGGACACTCTAACGCCGGATCTCGGTAAGTATGCGAGAAGAATCGCGTCGACGGCACACTACTAGTGTGTTCGCAGCGTCCGAATCTGAGCACGTCGAGCACGCTTTTAATAAGTTACAATGAAAGCTTTCTAACGGGCGCCGTCGATACTCGACAACTTTCAGGAGAAGCGTTGCGGCTACAAGAGCAGCGATTAGAGCAGGCCCTCAGGCTCCACGGCGATCCGCGCGCCTTGAGCTTCACTCTGGCTCAGCACGTTGTCAATCAACAAAGCAATCAGCAACCCTGAAAATTCAGTTACTACTGAGACGAGTGGACCCCTTGGGCGCCGGATCAGATGGCCCTGCAGCAGAACGAGCGCATGAATCAACAACAGTCGCAATCGTCGACGGAGCGCTCGACACCGCTGCTCGATCAACAACAGCAGCAGCAACAGGGCCCGTCTTCCATCGGTCATCATCAGCAGCAGCAGCCACACCAGCAGCAGCAGCAGCAACTTGAAGACCGTGGCGTCAAGAGAAAAGCCGACGAAATGATCGGTAACTCCGAAAACGCGTAAAAGCGATCACGTGCGACTACGGATAACGATGACGTCATCGTCATCGTCGTCGTTAAAAGTCGACGTGATTCGCTCGAGCGTCCAAGTGCGGTCGTTAGATTTTCGCTCACTGTCTCAGCAGTAAGAAAACGTCAAAACACAAAGACTTTGAAGGGAGAATGTGAAATTCGGTGTCTTCCTACTCGGATAGAACCGACGTGGCCGGACCAACCGGAAACCGACCGAGAGGGCATCCTCCTCTCTCGGCCGACGAACTCTCCGGATGGGATCGTGCTAGGAGGAGAGTGAGAATACGTATAGCAATCCGTTGCACGGCGCGAGGCGGAAGGATCGCGGTGGCGACGGCCATTTCTCGCGATTCTCCGCGTAATTCCACGCGTCGTTGTTCCTACACCGGTCCTGAATCAAGAACGGATCTTACGGCGGCGTCTTATTCAGCGTCGTCCCGTCAGGATTTTCAGGACACGTCGCCACCGCCATGCCGCCGCCTCGACTCCCAAAACGTGCCATAATAACTAACGAGAAGCTGCTGAAGTAAAAAAAAAAAAAATCAGTAAGTCATCCCGGGGCGTCACACGTTCCGGGATGCGTCCCGAGGTACTATGATCTTTTTAGTACAAGAGCCGATACAAGCGGTACGTGACGGTTGCCAAGGGTCCAACGGGCGACCCTCGACCGTCCCGTGTGGCCGGGCTCAACAAACCTAAACTACTATATAAATATTATACATAGATACGTCTATCTCTACCGAACCGCGCTTAAGAAGGTTCCACTCCTTGAACCCCCTAATCTTAGAAGAAAGCTCCCGTAATGCTTAAAGCGAAATGCACACCACCGCAACCACCCACGTACGAAGGCTCATCGTCATCATGGTGTGTGTCGCGCGGTCGCGGCGAACATTCCACCACCGCAGGTGGTGCCGTGTCGCCGTGTTGTACGGTTGTTAATTATATACGTACCGAAATCCCCTTCCCCGCGTGTGTGTGTGTGAGACAGACGGACGCAACGCGATCCGTACGGACGTTCTCCTCATTTGCGAGCAACGTTTCGCGCGACGACGACAAAGGGACGTTGTTGACATTTCGCGCTCGAGAAACGAACGTCGTCGGACGTGCGCGTGTCGAAACAGATACGTATACGCACACACACGTGTACACACGCACACACGTCAATACACACACGTAAATACACACAAAGACACACATATGTATAATAGAGAACTCTCATATATATATGTATATATGTATAAAGATATATACATATATATACATGGATTGAGAGGATTCATCAGCAGCACACTTTTAAGGTGAAGATATAATGCGCGCAACTTGTGCTCGTCGGTAGCACGGAAACTATTAGCTCATAAGCGAACAAACAAAATATAGTTATTACAAACAGTTATATTATATATATTATATATACATACAGAGTATGAAGAGAGTATGACACAGACAAAAAAAAACGGGCGAAACCCATTCACACTTACACGTTTAATTGAAGAAAATACGGTAAGCGTGAAAGAGCACTTTTCGTGAGCAAAGCACGCGACGGAGAAGAAGAGAGAAATAAAAAACTAAATGCTAAATATTATATATATATTATATATATAAATATTATAAATAATGAATATATAGGGTCTATGAGACTAGGATAGTTAGGCGAAAGGGAAATATATGAGCGAATGCGGAGCGCGCGCCTCCGTAGATTTTACGTGATCCCAAGCATTGTCGGTGCGAGAATGCGACAGCACGAGGAGAGAAAGAACGAAGAGCGCGAGAAGAAGATGAGAGTACGTGCGAGAGGAAAACGAGAAAGAGAGCGTGCGAGCGAAAGGGAGAGAGAGAAAGAAGAAATACGTGAATGATTTTACGAATGAACGACCTTGGGATCTGCGTAAACGCGCGGGCGCGCCGTCGAGTGGATGGACAGATCGAATGAACGTGAATGCTTCGTGAGCATCAAGGAAGAGCGAATGCAAGGACGAGAGTGAGATTTTAGAATGGCGTGCTTCAGGTAATCTGAGGTCCTGTGATCGTTATAAGCGAAATATTTTTTTATTTCCGGGTAATATAATCTGAAACGCGTAAAACTTCTTGCGTCGTTTTGAACTTTTACTTGCAATATACCGTTACGTTCTCGCAATACTTAGGATGAAGAAGAATAAGAAGAAGACGAATAAGGGTGGATGAAACAAAAAGAACAAACGAAAAAAATAATATAATACGATACGAAGATGAGGATGACGAGGGAGAGGAAGAATATGAAGAAAAATAAGCGCGTAGGTTTGATCGTGGAGCGAACTTTTAAAGACTCGAGCCAGCCCCTTGCCCTCCTGAAAATGTTCCCCTTTACGCGACGCCCCATCAATCCAAATCGACCAAATTTTCCTTCGCCTTCCCCATCTCTCCGAACTTTTGACGAAACTTACGGATCGTCCGTACTTTCGATGGGGTTATCTTTCGATAAGAGACCAGACGAGACGCTGACTGGAGAGAAATACGTTTGACATTTGGTTGAAAATCATTTCTCGACACTGGATAACGCGGATCCTCAAAAGAACGAAAAACCGACGGAGATAAAGAGGCGGTTCCAATGAAAAAAAAAAAAGAAGACAAAAATAAAGACAACTAAAAAGTATAAGAAAATCGATTCGACGCGCATTCACCTACGACATGATTCGATTTCTTCGTTTCTTCGACTGGCAATCGCGGACTGATAGAGTGCGGAATTAAATGGTAGCGTGCCGAATTTGTTCACATTTCTGGACATCAACGTCGACCGCGTTACTGTTGTTGTTGTTGTTCCTTCCGGAGACTTTCGACGAAATCTTTCGTTTTTGACCGGCTCATTTTTTGAAAAACACCTCGGCCTCTTTGATCCTTTCTCTAAAAAGTTCTCCCCTCCTTTCATCTCTTTCCATTGCTTTTTTCCAAAAAAATCGAAATTCTCTAAATTGTGTCAAATAAAATTTCGCCTACGAATCTTGTTGGTAAAATATCTCCCGCTATGTTATTATATGGAAAAGGCATTTTCCAGAAAGAAACTTTAAAAAAATTTTCTAAAAATGCTTCTAATTGTCCTTTTCATGATACCTCCCCCTCTTTCAAGCCCCTTTGTTCGCCAATTACGAAAGTAACCTAACGTCGTCATCTTCGTTGAACGTAAAAAAAAAACACGCGCCGAAAAGCCGCCGGATAGCCAGGCTTTTTGACCATCTGGGACGAGAGAAGGAAAGATTGCTAAAGGATTCATCGTCAAAGCTACATTAACGATTGCACTCGTCTCGCGAACGGAACTCGACGGATACGTCCGATGTTTTCGAAAATTTTGCGACTCTCTCAAAAACGTTTCCATCGTTATTCGGATCGATTATTATTCGCGCAAAATTTATTCGAAAAATTGATACTCTTTGGATTCACCTTCATTTCTATAAAGTAAAAAAAATTTAAAGGAGGAGGGCCTCCGTCGAGTTCTGGTGATCGCAACTACGAGTCGATTCATTGATCGTTATTATTAAAGTTTTTGCGTTACAGGGCGTTTTTTCCTCGGATTAAGTAGTATGTAAATACACCTTGATATCACAAGCATAAACTGAGAATTTACTGGTAAACTTAAACGAACGTACATAATGAAATAGGGTTAGTTTCTATGTAAATACCTAAAGCTGGACGAGTGCATACACCTCGTTCACGCAACCAACGATAATCGTTTCTTATCGAACCAGAGCTTCTGTTCGTTATCGGTGCGTGTCCCTGATGATCGGCAATCGCTTCCGCCTGCTCAATCCCTCTCCTGCTCGGAAGAGCAGATTTAACATGTCGAGGAAGGATCGCGCGCGGAAACGTTTACCGTCTGTCTGGGACATCACCGATCGGGAAATTCTTTTTTTTTCTCGACACCGATACTCTTAACACATTGATACATTTACACACAGACACATTCACATTATACGGCATTGCGATGGATTGTACGATAGGAACACACATAATACCTGAAATGCAATCTTCGTACACTTTGACGCCCGTATATAACAACGTAGAGACCGATTTTTCGGAGAATTTTTATTAGCCAATAATCGTGCTTATTTTTTTTTTGAAAATTTAAAAGTCATAGAATAATGAGACATATGATAATGAAATTAATAAAAGTTTCAGGCGGTTTTTTTAAAAGATACGTGCTGTAGGAAATTGAGAATGAAAGAGTTTGGAGAATATCTGGCAGAAAGAGAGAGTGAGAATGCAAGGTTGATAAATTTCGGCACAAAAAAAGTCGAATAAAAATATAAATCGATATCTGTGAGTTTGGAGAATGAAATTATAGAGTGGATGAAGAGAGTTATTTAGGGAAAGCTGTTAGGCACGTATCGCGCGATCGCCAAGCAAAATTCTCGTTGAAATTTGCGCGGTATCCAAAAAAAGGAATTTCCAATCAATAACACTTTTCAAAAGGTGTAATTTTATTTCACGGTCCCTAATCGAGCGTCGAGAGGTATCGAGAATGATGCACGATCGGGTAGTAAAAGCGCGAAAGAGTGAAATAAGAGAGGATGAAAAAAGAGAAATCAGCGTTACTACTTATACCATCTCACTATCACCATCACAAAAAAATTAAAAAAACAACAACAACAAAATACAAAACACTACCACCACTACCACGTCGAGATCCTTCATGACGATCGCGATCATGAAACGATTGATAGACGGCTGTTTTCGACCGGTGCATCCTGCCGTGCGCCGAGGGTTGCTTTTTTTAATTAGCGAAGCGATACGTAACGATCGGGACGGGATGGTTCTCAATCCTATCCCGATCGATAATTCAAATGCACATCTCCGCGCGAAAATGGAAGAATTCCCAAGGCGCCGGCCCATGCCCCGCGAACGTGTACCATAATTTTAAATTTAAACGAAAGATAATGAAAAAAAACACACAAGCGCGTTAAACAATAGATCTAGTAGTGTATGTTCTGTAATCAACTGAAACGTAAGCGAAGATAAAGACAAGATAATAATAATAAAAAAATGCGGCTCGCGCCGCGGAAAAAACACAAAAAAAATAATTTACAAATATATTGATTTACATATGCCCGTAACTCGTAAGAGGGCCGGTGGCGCAACCGCGTCCACCCGCATGAGATTTTCGGGCCCTACGACGGCGATGAAGAAGAGGAGACGGCGGGACACGCGTATTACAGAGAGACGTTGGAAGAACGAGCTCGCGAGCAAATCAAGCAAAAGCGGAAGAAGCGCGCGAGAAGCGTGAAAGACACCGTGAAGAAAGATACGAGGAGATTGCGAGCGATTGGATCGTCCGTCTTCGTCGCGAGAGATGCCGGCGAGCCGCGCAAAGATCACGAAGATGACGAAGATGATTAGAAGCAGCCCCGAGCCGCGATGAGATGAAGAGGGAGAGAGAGAGAGAGGCTCGCACGCGTCTAACGAGACGGGAGAATCCAGAGAGGGAAATCCCGAACAGACGTCACGGACGATCCGAAGATATAAAGCGCACCCGACCGTAGCCAACTCGTGGAAACGCGACTTAGACAGTCGAGAAGGGGCCCACGGATGATGATAAGAAATATAAAATATATATATATATGCAGAAAGGTATATATATATATACAATAATGAAAATCCATAGCGCGACGTCGCCTGCAAAATCGGCCCTAACTATAATCTTAATCTCTTTCATGTAAATTTGCTAAATGTTTAAATAATCTAAAAAGTGCCATAGCCCGGATGCGCTGGTGCATACTCCCAGCGCATACACACTCACAAATACGACTCGATCTTCACGAATAAAACGCAAAATCCGCGGATCCGCGCGTGCCTGAGCGGCCGCGCGGCTGCGGTAAAATTGGTATTCTCGCCAAGGAACAAATATACAATGTACAACAGCGACAGAAACCAACGCAAACAAGACATGCCCACCATAGAAGACGTACGGCGCGTACGCGCGTCCCAATGATACACAAGTTAAAGCAAAGTTGCCCTGGTTCACGAGCGTGCAACCCCGCGCGCTCAAACATTTTGCAATACACGAGCACACAGGTGCTCACACACACAATATACAATGTACAAGTATACAGTTCTATACTATTTTACACTGTGAAAGCACACTTATCTACACTATAATTACACACGCTACGGATATGTAAAGCCAATTAATTTTGTAAATTTCCTAAAAAAGGATTTTTAAAAAGCTACGATTCGGCCTCGAATAATAATAATATTTTCACGCGCGTCACGCAGATAACGCCGATTCGTCTGGAAAAAGCTTTCCGGACCTTTCTCAAGAGAGAGAGAGAAAAGGCACGCTTTTCAGACGGAGACGCGTCATTTCGGGCGCCGTTGAGAAAACGTGGATAAATTTTTCATGGTAATTCGAAAGGTAAAATTTGTGGATAACATGACAGCACACGCGTTTGTGCTCTCAATACTATACGTAATGTATAAACGGAGCAAAATTCGCGGCCTTTGGCATACGTTTGGATGCAGTACCGATGATGAACGGTGCGTGCACGCTCGCGTGAGATGAATGCGAGTGCGCACGCCCAAAACGCGTCCCGGACTTGACACGAGAGTACCCGGATGTGACGTGTGGGCGGCCTCTTCGTCGGGCTACGAATCCCCGACGACGGACAGGTGGCGAGGTGCCAGAGAATCTCGTCGACGAGAGTCGACGAGATAAAAGAGACATAGAGAAAGAGAGAGAGATATATATATATATATATATACGTACATATATCTCGAGTAGAGAAGCGCGAGGAGCGACAGACGAAGCAACGAACAAAGTTCGTGTGTCCTTTGAGAGTGAAACTGATAGAGAAAAAAAAGAGAAAAAGGCACCTTGGATGCCACCGGGAGAGACCCCTGTTCCACGAGACGCAATCACGAGAAAGGTGTAATAATTACATGAGGAACACATACACAACCAAGAGGAATGTGGCAGCGGCAATTGCATAAGGGCCGTTGTTCGAGTGCGGCTTTACAAGCAAAAACCGTTGGTTTGTTTTTGATCGGGTTTTAATTTTTTAATGAAATAATCTCACGACGAATATATATGACGTACGATCGCGCGCGCGCGCTCGCGCTCGCCCGCCACGAAGATTTGCAGCTTTCGCGGCAATATTTATGGGGGCAACACGGCACGACGTACGACGTATGTGCATATTATTCGTGGCAGTGTGTATCGTAAGTGCGCAGCATATGATAAAACCGACAGTCTAGCAGTGCGAGCGCCTCGGCGGCATTCGCGTTTTCACGCGGTGACCCTGACCGAGCCTCCGTGATTAAAAACCGGAATAAGTTGTTTCAATGTCCACTATATAAAATGAAGAGCCATAGTTGTTAAGGCGGTGGGTTCCGGCGTTCGGCGAGTCGACTCGACCTCGCATTATCGCGTTCGTCCTGGCCCCAGCGAATAAACTTCGAGAGAGATGACGGCGGCGAGTCAACGGGGAAAACAATAACGCGCGAGAGAAAGATTTCAACGACCGCGAAACATTTCGGCATCTTGTCCAAAATTATGAGGTTCCTGGCAGATCGAAACGACCGAGGTAGCCGAGATAATCCGACTCGGGTATATTTGGCGTCTAAATAGCGACGTTCGGAAAACGAAATTTTATTCACTGATTCATATCCTTGCCGCACTTTTAACGTTAAGCGCGACTCTCGATTTTCATTCGTTTTTTTATTCTCTTGGAAAGAGAATGACATTCCACGTGTCGATGAAAAGGGAATGAAAATTTGGACGTCGCGATTGACGCTAAGCGTGTAGTGAAAATATGGATCTTCATCTCGGCTACGCCAAGCGGATAGAAGAGTGAGAAAGAGAGCGAGACGGTAGGATAACATCGGAAAAGGAGAGAATCCAGAGACTCTAAACCTTATGATCGATCGAAGTCGTGAAGAAGTAGCGACTGCCATGATCCCAAACCATCTATACAATTGACAATGATCGACAACGACGAGCGTGCGGACCCATCGCGCTGTCTCGCCACGGGCAGATCATGCGAACACGATGTGCGAATCGATCGTGCTCGATCGATCCTGCGATCGTATCGCGTGGTCTTCGTGACGAGACGATACTCTTTTCAAAATATTCTTCATCCTTCTGTTCAGAAGAATGCGTTTCTTTCAACCTGAATGATCAACCCCCCGCATGCGTGTCCGAGGTGAAAGGCCGAGTCCATTTATTCGGCGTAAAACGAAAAAAATTTAAAGAAAAAATAGAACAATGAAAAAAGTTGCGAATTTATCGGAAGGTGATTGATTACGAATCGGCGAATAAAAAAGTGGTAATCGAAATGAAGATGAATCAGTACATTGTCCGCTGAGTGGGTGCCTTCGTCAGGGTTTTCCGTTACAGTAAACAGACAGTTCTCAAGTATAACTCACAATTAGTAGTGCTATGGTAGAACAGTAATCACAAATGTACCGCAGTTAAACAGTTAAAATAAGTAAGTATACGGGAAGCACGTGGTCTTTTTCAGTGTTTGCAGAATCTCGTCGTACATCATCTATACCGCTAGTCGGGTAGTGACACGACCGGAAGTATACCGGATTCATTTCGTGCGCAACTTCCTGTCCCTCCCATTCCGATCCTTCGTTCAGGTACATATTTCTTCCCCCTCCCGATAATCTCTTCCTCAATTTTTTGGACTTAGAACGACCGATACAAAAAAGATTCGATCGAATTATCGAGAGAAACACATCCTGTGAAAGTTAAATTAAACAAAAATTACCCAACCTTAACCAAAAACCGGTCGCTCGCATCCCTCCTTCCACTCAACTCAATCGTCATTTAACGAATAAATATGATAATAAGTGTACTAAGTGTCTGTGTAGTTTAGCCAACGTGTACGTTGTATACTCTGAGGTAGGCGCGAGGAAACGAGCGTGAAGAGGGAAATAGGATGAGATTGAGCAGGATAAAGAAGGAGAGAGTGGTAGACGATTGCACGGTGGAGCCATATTTAACTAACTGATAACAATTAATTAATTACAGTAATCATTCAAGATGACTTAATTAACCGTACCGCATACACACATGCATAATTATTAATTACACGTATTCCAGTATTATAAGTAAGGGCCAAGCGGTAGCGCCGCGCATACCGCGCGCACCGCCTCTATCAATAAATAAATCGCGGAGGCACTCACTACGGAACACGACGAGCAGGGACTTTGGGACTCGGATGCGGATCGGAGGGTACCTGAACACGCGAGCCACGTGATCGTCCGCGAGATCAAAACTTGTCTGCAACATGTTATTCAACGTGAGGGAATTCAAAGAAAAAAATAGAAAAAGACAAAAAAAGAAGAAGTCAAGTTTTTCCCTATAGCAAGCTTATATCCGGCTTTTCTCCGACGTTGGACGATCGAACTTATATATTCGGAAGTTGCTTTCGGCAGTTCGGGCAAGCCTGAAACGTCAGTTTCAGCCGCCAGTCCATGCTCGACACAGCGCCGTGTCAGGCAACGCGTGTTCAGGTGTCCTATATCCCCGTTACTTTATTGGTCTTTCAAGTGCAACGTTGAGTTATTTCACTTACAGCGTTGTTTTTCTACACAATACAAAATACCCCTACCACCCGTCCCCACCGGCGAACCAATTCACCTCATCACGCTCCCTCAGGAACAAAGCATCCCTTTCACCCACTGTCCCCCTTCCAACTCATCTCCCTCATATACAATGTTGTTTCACGTTCGTTCGCGATGAACTTGGTTGCGAGTTCGACGACGACTACGCTCCGTTCCTCATTAGATAAAATTTAAAATTATCAGACAAGTTCTTTTATATATATATATATATATATTTTTTTTTTTAATTAAGTGAAAAATTCGAGTTTTTATATATAGGAAAATATTCATTTATATATGGGAAAATAAGTATTGATATTCAGAAAGCATTGATATTCGATATAATTGATTTATGTTAATATTCTCGGAAATTTCAGAAAATGTCTTGCAAAAATTCATCAAAAGTCGATGCGTCTGCAATTTTTAGCATCGCGGAACGGAGCGGACTTGACCTCGACTCCGAAAATAGCGAACGTTAAGTTTCAGAATTCAGACTTTTACGTACAGTTAGTTACCGAGTAATACAGCGCAAGTTATCGTTAATTTTCGACGCGCAGCCTCATTGCGACAAGGGTCACGAATTAAAAAAAAAAAAAAAAAAAGACGACCTTATCTGCATATTCGAACCGCAAAGCGCGCGACGAGGATGCGCGTGCAGGTTTAATGGTATCGATTGAGTTTGGTCGAAGTCCCCTTTTGGGCAAACACACCGACGCACTTCCGGTCCCGCCGGCCAGCATTGTTTGACGGAAATATAAAAAAAGAAGAAAGAAAAGGGAAAAAACATTATATCTCTCGAGCCTTCGTGAAGATCGCGACAGAAGAGGAAGCGATCCTCCGTTCGAAATTCAATTCTAGTCAAAAGAGGGTACAAAGCCGAGACGGGTGTCAACTCGAACAGGCGAAATCGGTACTTATTTAATGCGAGGCGAAAGAAAGGAGGATACGGAGAGAAGAGAAAAATGTGAGAGGAGGAGGCTCGAGAGGGAAAAAAACTTTCCATGGGATTGCGCAAGCGCGCATTTCACTCGACGCGCAGAGAAGATATTAAAAAGAGAAATGGAGAAAATCAGGAAAGTAAAAAAAAAAAAAATGATGCTGGGAACGCAATCTGTGGAATCGCAGGACGGCGGGACCGTCGATCACGAAGAAATATCCGCGTTGCTGACAAAACGTAGCCTCTTTTCGTTGTGTCAAACCGCCGGCCAGGATCCGGGCCGATCCTTGTATAAGCAAAAACGAGAAACTTTCAAAAAAGCAAAAAAAGATGAATGTACGGTGCGAATGGATCTTTCATGAAGCTTCGATTGTTGTTATTCCGTCGAGTTTTCCTTTTGCATATAAAAATACCTACCCACCCTCACGCTTTTTCGGCGTGGCCGCAGGATGGGATCTCGCACGTATGTTTCGATTCGCACGAAGAAAATCGATCGGCAAAGATACGGGAAAAATTTCGAAAAATGTGAAAAGAAAAATCGAAAATACGTGAGAGCCTGTCAAGCGAGCCCTAGCCTTTCGATACCGCGGTTAACCTACAATTATAATTACAATTAGTTATTAATTATATTATCATTATTATTACAATGAGATTGCCAGAGGGCAATTGGAGGCGTATTTTATAGAGAAACGAAAGGGAGGGGAAAAAGAGAAAGAGAAAAAAAATCCAGGAAGCTATGCCTCGGTTTATACAATTTTCGCTTGAGAATCGTCGAAATTTAATATGTTGTAAATCTATAACAACTCTTAAGTGAAATCGACAAAAGCGATAATAAGGAAAGAGAAGCCACGTTTCGAGATTCTTCTTTCTTTCTTTTCTTTTTTTTTTTCATCGCTCCTTTTCTTTTTAATTATACACAAAGCACACGTACATATACAATTACATTGGTTAAATAAATATATGATATATGTTATTTAGCAAATAAATATTTATATATGAAAGTAGAAAAAGGAACACGATACCGCGTTACGGAAATTCGAGTCCTCTCTCTTCCTTTATTTTGATATTATTACTATTATTATTATTATTGAACAATTAGGCATCGAAATTTTATTGTTGTTAACGATCGCGCGGAAGATTGATTTCTCATTATGTTTGTTATTTTTTTTCATTTTAGTTACATGCGCGTGGTATCGCACGACTGAGAAAGACGGAGATGATGGACACGATTTATCATTAATTGAATTTTATACGTGTTTTCCTTCGTTTTCCTTTATCGTTTTAGGTATATGTCAAGTTCGACTCTCGCTTTCTTAATTTTTCCTTTTGTATATCGCGCACATATGTAGATCGCGTGCGCCGCGTAAAAGTTGTTCAAATTTTACGTTCCTTTTTGCTCCCTTTCCTCTTTTTTTCGTATACTACTTTTCTCATTTAGAAGGCGAAGAGTACAGGGACTAATTCTTTCGATCTCATTTTTACTCATTTGCGCGTTATCCAACCTTATCGCGGAAAGATCAAACTTGTTTAAATCGGCAAATCATGAGGATTGAATTTTTTTATTTCTTCCACGTCCCATTATACGTACTCTTCAATCGTCTCATCGTAACGTTTTCGTTCGCCGAGCCGCAGGAGATTATTATTATATAAGACCACGCTTTTAATTTCTCACATTATGATTTTTGGTCTTGCTATGAAAGAAAGAGAGAGAGAGAGAGAGAGTTCCTATTTAATGAGAAGGTAAAATAAAAATCGATAAAAAAAGAATCGGGAAAGAAAAAAAGGCGAGAGCGTGGCGGAAAACACGCGGCGTTCGGCGAGTGAGCTCGTCACGCGAGTTACGTTTACTAGTCAGAATTGGTTAAAAGAAAAAAAAAACGATGAAGCGCAAGCTATATGGATTAGTTACTGCCTATATTATTAATTAATTAAGCGTAGCCGTTACGTTTTAACGCGGCTCCACTTTCGAGCTGCATTCATCCTGAAGTAAAGTAGACCGACACGTGTACTCATAGACACATACGCACACACGAAATGGTATACATAAACTACGGTTCTTTAGTTACTATTCACGTAGATTGAGTCGCGCCAATGTGTATGAAAATTAATTGCAGTCCGCCGAGAAACGTAGGTGATATGTATTAAATTTTTATCAATAACTTCTCATTTTCATATTTTTGTTACGAGCTTCCTTTTCTTTCTCTCATGCCTTAGACGCATACACTCACGCAAGCTTAGCGCTGCCGCAAACTACTATTACATATAGCGTAGTGCCAACATTACCAACACCACACTCCTATTATTACATTTATCTATCTACCGCTACTGCTGTCGCTAGAAAATGTTAGTACATCGCTATTATTATTATTATCATTATTATTATATTATGTTATATATTATATGTTATTATTACCTTTATATATTATTAATTATTAATATTATTATAATTATTATATTACTATTATTATTAGAGCATTGTATTATATTATAGAACCCGTGTTGTAAACTGTTCTGTCCTCGTTCGCGTGTGGTACATTAGGTAAATCGATGTGATACATGTCTAGTTCTCTTTGTGTCAATTTGATCGTGAGATTGAGTTTCCTTTTTCATAATTTTCTTTTTTATTATTATTTTTTTTTAATTCATCTCTCGTATGTGGTTCCTCGCGTCGAAATTCCCAATCGACGACGGTTTCTATTTGCATGAGAGAGGCAGGATAATGTATCGAATCTTTAAAATACGCTGACGATTGTCACATGGAAGTTTAGGACACGTGCATTTATTAAACTTTATCGTTACCTACTATTACCTTGTCAAAGTACCGGGTGTATGAACGCATGTGATTTTCACAAGCATGGAAGATATTCTTACAAATCTTCCTTCATTTCATCGCTCGACGTATCGAAATTTCGGATAACGATGAATAAATTCGATACTTTGAGAATATTTCTAGATGTGTAAAATAGATAAATACGTCCAAAATGAAATTAACATTATATATATTGATCTCGATACGGAGCGCTCTTACACCCGGCCCGATATTCGTTATTAGTTAACGCTATTAGTTATTATCAATTAACGCTATTAGTACTATTACCACTATTATTAGTTACCGCCATCGACTCTTAATGCGTTCCCCTATTGTCGATCGGCGAGCAAGATAACTATTTCGATTGCCTCTCGTCTCGAGCGTGCTTCAGTAGTTAATGCTGTCGCACTAATCTTATCTTCTTGTCAAAATTGTGAAATTAGGATCTCTCGAAAGTGTTTTGTAAATGTTATACGAAAAAAAAAAAAGAAAATTGTTGTTAGCTGTTTGCACATATTGCGTCCACAATTTTGTATAATGTTAAAATAATAGTACCGTTAGAATTAAAATCGTGCATGTCAGTCATGAAATTGTTACATTCAGGTCATTCGAAAATCCTTCATTGCCAAGTGTGACCGCACTAACCACACAGTCGACCGCTCGAGAGGGAAGAGGTATGCGCGATTTGAGATGTTTCGATGAAAGTTTCCAAAAAGTGCGATAACGAACTAAAGGAACCAGATTTTTCGCGACGAGAATGTCGAAGCGAGAGGAACGATTTTTTTTCCTCTCGCTGATCGCATTCTAGTCGCAATTGGAGAAGCTGTGGGATCCTCAAAGAGCACGTCGCGAGCTACGTACATACAATTTTCGAATTTTGGAAATAATCGACGCGCGAAAAAGGAAGTACGAAAACAAAAGTGCTGTCTCAAGTACTTTATATAGTAAGAAAGAGAGAGTAAAGTATGTCATATACAATTATATTATACAACAGTCTCTTTCGGTTACGAGCGAGTCCCGCTATTGTGTAGGATATGTCTAATTGATGATTACGATGTGAAGATTTAATATCTACAAGATGAGGACGAGAATGGTCGATGATTGCGACTAACGGTGGAAGAGCGAGATCCAAATTGAGAAATCGCGAGAGCCTTTTTGCACGAAAACGCATTACAAACGGATGCGTTAACCTCTAGGAACGTTCTTCTTTTTGTTATTGTTAATAATGCTGATGATAATACATCAATGAAAGAAAGGGTGCTTCTGTGCGACGAAGAGAACTTCGTGGCACGCGTGGAAGGAAAATTCGAAACCTAGTCTTTTCCCTACCACGTACGCGACGATCCGATTCCGTCTCGCGTACGTGGGCAGTGTTCGATGAGAATTCATAACTAGTATATCGATAACTATACTGGAATCAATTTCTCTGGACGATCAGTTCGACCGTCAATTATCTTTCCGAGTGTAACAACTGCGGGCGAATAGGATCGCGAACAAAAACAATTTTCGTATACGCACTGATTCGAGAATTAATTATCATTCTTAGTACCGACCCGAATGTGAGATATTAATTTTATTTAATTCATTGTCCCATTCGCCCTCTGTTATTACACTATCTTTCTAACCGAGAAACATGCTCAATTTTTATCGATTAATCATATTGTCATATTCGGTATGTAGGATGCTCGAAATATGCTTAATTCATATGACTCAAAATTCGTTACACGAAAAAGTACGCGACGCTTCATCGAGGTCCCTTCTAATGGTTCCAAAGTAGCATTTTCGATGAAAAAAATAGCCATTTTGATCACGTTATATATTTTCCAAAAATATTTTCCAATTTTGACATTCATGGATGCACGAGATCAGCGCGAGAAGGGCCTCGACAAAATGTCGCAGTTCTCTCGAACAAACATATCAAAATACAAGGGGTTCCACGTTGGAGCGTTATTGCGACATTACTTTCGGCGTGTAATTAGATTGTAAGTGATAAATTCAACGCGTCTACAAGCGAAGCGACGCGCGCTCGCGCGTAGACGCCATTGAACACTGCATGATCGATGATCGCGAGTAAAAAGAGAAAATCAACGCGAAATCGAGGATGGGAAAAGATCCGATCCTTTGATTGAAACATCCTTTAGGCTTACGATCGAGGATTAAGAGTTCGTTAGATGTTAATGTCTGCGGAGCGGGCCGGCTTGGCGTCTTCGTGGAAGTGATCTTCGCGCAAAATTTTTCTACGCAAAATTCTAAACGCTCTTAGAAAATTTCAATATATTCAAGCGAAATTTTTAGATCTATAATATATACATGTATATATATATATATATATGTATATGAAATTTTTTCCAATCAAAAATGATTTTCACATATGGCAAAAAAATCGAGGATTCTTTGTCGAATAAAGACATTCGAACTAAGGAGATCACTTCGACAGGATCGCGAGGCCGATTCGCGGGCGTGTAGATCGAAGATAAGCGAAAGGAAATGAAGTTTATAAGCGAGAATAAATTCTTCGTGCCTCACGACTTCCGGCTGGACGACCTTTCGCGCGACTACGATATTCGTAATTAACGCCTCGGATTTTTGTGACGGGAGACTGGAGGAATTCGAATCGCAGTTAAATTGTAAATACGTGAAAATTATCTGAAATACTCCCGTTCGTGTGAAATTCGTTTTTTCGTAAACGCAAATGGAAGCTCGTCGATTCCGGAAGCACGCGATTGGCCAGCCTAAATTTAAGGTCTTTTTTAGAAATTAGCGGCGGAAAGGCAGATATATATCGCGAGGGCGACTATCGCTGCAATTTTGTGGATGAGAGAGCAAGGGTTTGCCTGCGAGCGAAATAAATTGCGAGACAAGATGAATGAACGAAAGAATGCAATTCTGATAAGTGTATCCGTTAGTGAAAATGCGAATCGAGAGAATGAGAAGATAAGAGAGAAAGAGAGAAAGTGAGAAAGAAAAAAATGCGAGAAAATGGGATATAAATGTGTGCATGAGATAGGAGAATAAACAAAATTTTACTACCAAGTGGACTAGAATCGCAACCGATGGGCATTATTAAGCGAAAATAAAATTTTCGGAGCGTTTTTTCGACGAAGAAAAGCGTCCAAAATTGTACCTATTTTCATTTTATAAATTATATATATATATATGTATATGTATATGTATATGTATAGATATACGACGACCTAAACGATTATTATTGCAAGATGTAATTGCAAGAGAGAGCGAAAGAGAGGGAGAGAATGTTGAAGAGAGCACGTGAGAGAGCATGGGGATAGGAAGATGATGAAAAATAAGAAATTATTGTATCTATATTCGGAAAAATGATCGATGATGTATTCGAATCGTGATTATTATTATTATATATTATGATTATTGTGTATAGTTAAGGCGAAAATGGAATTTTAGACGAAATTATCGAACTCGAGGTATACATATAGGGAGCGTAAGCAAGAGAGAAAGAGAGAGAGAGAAAGAGCGAGAGAAAGAGAGAGAGAGAAAGCATAACATAGTATGAAAGAGAATGAGAGAGAGAGAATTTCTCGACGGTGATTGCACATTGCATGTCGACAGGCAACAAAACAGAATTCCCCTCCCCTCCAGTAAAGTCAATATAAAAAAACCAAGTCATGGCCGAATGAAATACAAAAACAAACAATTTCGGGATTGTAGTCATTTTTCGGGAAATCTCAAAATTTAAACAAAACGAGCGACTTTTTCCATTTTTCGAAACCGCGGTTCTTCCGGAAAAAAAAAAAAAAAAAGAGAAAGTGATTCTCGTTTCCTTTGTACCAGGACCAAAAGAGAATAGCCGAATATATATCTATATATAAAAATATACATATATGTATGTATGTATGTATGTATATATGCTCGTATATGTACGTACATACATGAACCAGCACACGCAACGCGTACGAGACGTGCGGGAGATGTCCTTCGGCGCGACGATTCTGCCGGAACGATACGCGATCGAGCGACTTTTGGACAACCAGAACGAGTGCCTCGGGCCCGATCCCAGAAGAGGACGGGTCCAGATTTGGGAAAATTTTTTACCGGCAGATCGACGCGCTCGAGGGACTCGAGTGATGAGGAGGAGAGGCGATGGGAGGCAAAAGTAGTTCGGACAGCAATAGTTTACAGGTCGAAACAAGCAAAACGTCAGATTGGAAAAAAAAAAATAAAGAAAAAAGAAACAATGTCGGAACAGCGGAAACAAAAATCGCGTAAGAACACGAGGCAACGTATAGTTATATATACTTTCTAGCGCGCGACAGATCGCGAAATTTTCAGTTCTCCCCTCGCGGTCGTAGATCGATCGTTGTTAGATTTTTCGACGCTCGCATGGTATCGCGACGGTATCGATGTCCTTTATTTGAGAACGAGTTTTTCTCGCGAAAGATTTGATCGGTTAAACATCGCAGGACGATCGAAAGGAAAAAAAAAAAAATATGCGAAATTGCTTGTCATCGACCGACCGATCCGCGATCGTCGTTCACGTCTTCTTTTTTCACCGCGACTTATCTGTTTTTCTCACCGATATCATATTCTTTCCTACCCTCTCCCCCCGCAATCCATTAATTACAGCATCCTCAAAATAACGGTATACAAAAAAATCCGGCGGACATCCCGTTCCTATCCTGATCATTACTATTGAACATCCCTTTTCACATAATCAATTCGCCCTTTCCTGCCCCCCCCCTTCCACCCCCCGATCCTTCCAAACCAATTTACCAGTGTGAGTGAATGTGTTAACACGTGCAAGGATTTTAAAAGAAAAAAAAAAATTCTAGAGCGAATTTCTAGGAGGAAAGGTGGAAAAAATGAGAAAAGCGTCGAGCAAAATGCGATCGTGAGGATTGATTAAAAGAGAAACCGGGAAAACGTACGCACACATATACGTACACGTATTGGTCGGACTGTGTCAGAAACATTTTGCATCAATTGTGTAAGTCAGAAGACAGCAAGAGGAAGTGTGCGTGTATGTATGTATGTGCGTGCGCGTGTGTGAGAGAAAAGGGGAGATAAAAAGCGAAAAAAAAGATGAAATAAAAGAGGAAGCGAATGCGAATGCGCGTGTGGAAGATGCGAGAGCGAGAGGTAGAAGAGATCCTAAAGAGAGCGAGCGAGAAGATAAAAAACGGCGGAAGCTAAAAAACAAAATGTACGAACGAACATTGATACTGTCTTCGTTTTTTAAGGTCGTTTCTCCGTTCGACACGCTACTATATAAATATTGACATTTGTCATTGGATTATTACCGACGATGATGAAGTATCATATTATTATTATTATTATTATTATTATTACGAAACTATTATTATTATTATGATCGTAAATGATTATTATTATTATTACCATTTATTATTGTCATTATTATCACAATTTATTATTGCGATGATGATCATGATTATTATTATTATTAATATTATTATTATTACGTGGTACAATAAAAATTTAATAAGCATTCCAGGTCTCGTGACTATCATCCAGTTTCTCATAATCTCAGCGTGATTAATTTACTTATCACGTGATTTTAGTGTCATGACCTTTTTACGTATAAAGATAATGACTACTCAATAACACAAAGTGTATTGCTACGGTTCATAATATCAAGTTTATAATATAATTTACAGGGACGACAAGATTCACTTTCGTAGAAATGTATAGAATTCTTTGCGTTTTCAACGCGCACAAATTAAATTTTTATAGAAGGATACTTTTTTACATACATTATATATGTGTGAGTAAGACTAAATTTCATCGTCTTTATTTTAAATCTAACTTTTCAATGTTTAAAACTAGATATATCCGAGTCTGAAAACAAACATAGCGCGGGGTCATATCAACAGGCGAACACTTTGATACGTCTTTAAGCTACGCCGAGTTAGTACATGACAGAGAACTAAAAGAAAAGCATCATGCTTCGTTTCGGCATCCGCGGCAGATTCGTTGTCTGCAACAATCTCGAGAAATGTCTAAAAATTTTGGGAAGCATCCGTGATACCTGCAACGCGGCTGTAGTGTCAAGGGTCAGGGAGGGATGGAATGGTGATTCGACGTTGCGTTCGAATTGTTTGATCGATCTCGCGGCACCTCGTGCAGTTGCGATTCAGGGGCAAAATCGTCGGCTGTCGTCAACATCGACTGTTACCGAAGTTCGAAGAACCTGTCTTTACGATTTTCACGTGGAAAAACAAGGCAAGTTGAGATCTGAATATTTAGTACTAAATTGAAATAAATAATCTGTTACTTATTTTTTTAATCTAACAAATTATCGCGAATAATAATGTTGCTCGATGCTGTTAAACATGAATAATACAAAGTTCATTTTTTCGAGAAACGTTTTTTTAATTTTCATAATATAATGTTATATTTTTAATGCAGAAAATATATTTAATGTAAATATATAATATATATATATATAATATAAAATATATTGAAAATTAGAATAAGACCACTTATTTAATTTCGATTTTATAATACAATTTGATAAATGTTTAGGTAAGATCGTCAATTTTGCCGGATGGCTGATGCCAGTACAATATCAAGATACGATCACCGTATCTCATCTACATACCAGATCATCGGCATCGCTTTTCGACGTCGGTCATATGCTGCAAACACGCGTCTCCGGTAAAGATGCCGGAGAATATTTAGAATCACTAACCACGTGTGATCTGAAAAATTTAAACGAGGGCGCTGCGACTTTAACAGTCTTCACTAACGACCAAGGTGGAATTCTCGACGATCTTATCATCACCAAGGATGGCGAAGATAAATACTTTGTCGTATCTAATGCGGGAAGGCGCGATGAAGACATTCAACTTTTTCTAGAACGTCAGGTGAAAAAATTGCACAGATACCTAACATTTTAAAACGTATAATGAATATATATAAATATAAAATATCATATTTCTCTGCTTTCAGAAAGATTTTAAAAATGCTAATAAAGACGTATACGTCGACTTCCTAAATCCTTTGAAACAAGGTCTAATAGCTCTTCAAGGCCCTACAGCAGCAACGGCCCTTCAATCGCTAGTCAATTTCGATCTTAGGACCTTAAAGTTCATGTACAGCGTCAAAACCAAAGTATTAGGCAGTCCAATCAGAATTTCGCGATGTGGATACACCGGGGAGGACGGTTTCGAGATTTCTGTGCCTGCGAAGGACGCAATTAATTTAGTAGAAAATATTTTGGACATTCCTGGCGTAAAGTTGGCTGGTTTAGGAGCCAGAGATAGTTTAAGGTGAGCAATAAATATTATATAGTAATATAATAAATATAAATATTATATACATTAAAACACACACACCCAATAATTGTTCGCAAAAAAAAAACCGTGACCGAGATAATACATACATATAAAAGTTGAAAAGAGAACATTTTCATAGATAAATAAATAAATAATGTCAAGTAAAATAGTATTAATATATTTCCCTATTTTTTAATTTATTATTTATAATTAATTATTTTTAAGATTGGAAGCTGGACTCTGTTTATACGGCAATGATATCAATGAGGATACTACACCGATCGAAGCAGCTCTTACCTGGCTAGTAGGTCAGTAGTCTTTCGCAAAAGTAGTTAATGAATCTTTAATCACGACAGATATTCTTCTCTATAACCGTTTTTAAATAATCAAGTATTTTCATCATTCGTATTTGCGCTTGTTTAATTCTGTTACGCGAATTATTCCAGTTTTCCGTCTTTGCTAGTTTTATAATTTATAAAACAATTATAAAATAATTAATAAAACGATCGATCTTTTTATTCTTTGCAGCAAAACGACGAAGAGCTGAAGCGAATTTTCCAGGCGCACAACGAATTCTTGCGCAAATTAAGACAGGCGTTACGAAGAAACGTATCGGACTCTTACTGGGTCAAGGACCACCTGCCAGGCAAGGTGCATCGATATTGACGCCGGAAGGCGAGCGTGTGGGCAGTGTTACTTCCGGTGGACCAAGTCCGACCTTGGGTCGGCCAATCGCCATGGGATACCTACCACCGGATTGGGCACACACCGGTGGCGGTGTGTTGATCGAGATTCGGGGAAAGACTTACAAAGCCACCGTATCGAAGATGCCTTTTGTGAAAGCGAATTATTACACCGCAAAATGATTTATTTATTAGCAATGGAAACTGATCGAATTGAGAATTATGATATTATGTAACAACAGCGAATTAGTTATCATTATAGAATATGTATATATAATATGTAATAGCCTCTATGAATAAATTTTATATAAGTAATGTTTATATTCTGACACACAAATTTTCAAAATTTATGCTTTACATTAATTTGCGTATCGATCTCTAAATTAATGAGTAAATATATTGGTAAGAAAACCGATTATTATTAATAACATTGTGTGTATTGACGTGACATTATATTTCTAATGTAATACTAATATCTATTTTTCTAATGTAATACTAATATATATTTTTCTATATGATATAAATTATAAACAAAATAATATGGTAACAATTATTATGTACCTATACCAATTATAGATATGATTAATTAAACTATAATTTAATTATTGCAAATTTGAGAATCATTATTACATAAGTTAATTATTACAAATCTGATAACTGTTATGTACATTAATTATTAAAGATCCACAATAGAAAATACATCGAGCAAAAATTAATTTTTATTTAATATATTAATATATTTATATTTGGTTGCAATAGACATTTTTCGTTATTACAATTGTCATTTTATCATGTTTTATATGAATTAAACATATTGATGAGTAAAACGTGGAAGGAATTGAAAGATAGCTTTTAATTATTAAGAAATTAATTTTCTTAATTAACTGTACCATTTCATTTATAAGTCAACATCATTACATGCGTAATAATGATTGAGAATGTTATACAATAACAATTAAATCATAAAATAATTGATGGAAAATATGTAAGATTTAAATAATTAAATTTATCTCATTTGATATATATATATATATATATATATATATATATATATATAAGACTTACAGCCAAATATAAGTATTAGTAATATAAAGCTGTTTCTAACGCTATTCCCCTACACGGAAACAATTCCAGCAATAAATAATATTTGAAGCATTTAAAAATAGAATGCTATTTTTGAAAACTAGTAAATGAATTACAATATATTCTACTCATATTATAATTATTCTTGTATGTTTAATATTTTACATATTATCTGTATCACATTCAATTTAGTCAAATAAAAAATAAGAAAAATGAAATGATGAACAAGAACCGACATTGATATACCTCAAATTTGCTTGGGCAATAGTTTTTTGAAATTGTTTGTTGTAGTGAGTAGTAATTTTCTTTCTGTTTGTAGTTTCATGGTATAAAAATTTCAAGTATATAAAAAAATGGTCACAAGTGATTTTTATCAATCTAAAACATTTTTTAAATCTGCTTTTTCCATGAATATAAATTTCGATTGCAATTGTTACAAACAACTACAAACGAGTCTTAATCATATGGAAAAAAAAGATTTGAAAAATCTTTAAAATTGGCAAATTTAAATATTGACTATATGTTTAAACAATTGCAATTTCTAGACTCTGCAACTACAAATGAATCGAAAATCACTACAAACAACTACAAACGTTGTAAAAAAGGTTGCACAAGCGGATTTGAAATATCTTAAAGTTTAGGACTGGGCATTTTTTTTGATACCTCGCTTTAAGATCGATCTCGATCTATCTTCGCTTAAAGTCCTACTCGACCTAAAAAACGTCGTGCATTAAGTTTCCTGAATGTGGTACCCGGCTTTCAAAAAATTAATTTTCTAAATTCGGAAAATGATAGTATTTCGATTGCAGTTAATGTAAAAGTAAAAAAATTAAAACTATTATATATGACCAGCACATAACTTTAAGATATTCTAAATTCGATTGCGCAGTCTTAGAATTGTTTGAAGTTGATTTCAGTGATTTTCGTTCCGTTTGTAGTTGCACGGTATAGAAATTATAAGTATTTAAACAAATCGTCAAAAGTGATTTTTGTCAATTTAAAAAATTTTTTTTAAATCTGCTTTTTCCATGAATATAAATTTCGATTACGATTGCTACAAACTACAAACGAGTCTTAATCATTTGGAAAAAGAAGATTTAAAAAATGTTTAAAATTGGCAAATTTCGATATAACCATATATTTAAATAATTGCAATTTCTGAATCGTGCAACTAGGAACGAATCGAAAATCACTACATACAACTACAAACAATTATAAAAAGGTTGCATAAACAGATTTAAAATATCTTAAAGTCTAGGACTGGGCATTTTTTTGATACCTCGCTTTAAGATCGATCTCGATCTATCTTCGCTTAAAGATCTACTCGAACTAAGAAATGTCGCGCATTAAGTTTCCTGAATGTGACACCCGGCTTTCAAAAAATTAATTTTCTAATACGGAAATATATATATATATATTTTTCGAATTTAAAGGTCTGTAAACTACTCGTAAAACTGCGTATGGGCACAAATAAAAAAATACGGGTCAAATATTTTTGATAGTACTACATTTGTACCAAATTTTAAAAAGATCGGAGTGTAACACTTGGGTAGGATTACTTGTTAGATTATTTCTGACAGAAAAAAATTTATTCGTTAATAAACAAAGCCCGGAGGAGTTTCGCTTAAGTAGATATTTACATATACGCGCACATACACGCTTAAATACTCATTTAACAATTTATTACGATTGATCCTGTGTTTGGTGCCAAAAAATAGTAGGGTTGCATACACTTAGATTATTTCTGACAAAAAATTTATTCGTTAATAAACAAAGCCCGGAAGAGTTCCGCTTAAGTAGATATTTACATGTACGCGCACATACATGCACGCTTAAATACTCATTTTACAATTTATTACGGTTGATCCTGTGTTTGGTGCCAAAAAATACGAGTAGAGTTACATACTCTTAGATTATTTCTGACAAAAAAAATTTATTTGTTAATAAACAAAGCCCGGAAGAGTTTCGTTTAAGTAGATATTTACATGTACGCGCACATACACGCTTAAATACTCATTTTACAATTTATTACGGTTGATCCTGTGTTTGGTGCCAAAAAATACGAGTAGGATTACATACTCTTTTGTAAGTAGAAAAGTTCTCTACCAGTTTGCAAAATTCTCAATAATTAATTATAATTAATGAGAAATTAATTTATAAAAATCGGCCAATTCACGTGCCTTACACAAACGCAAAAGATAATAATCGACAAAAGATAATAGCATGCATAAAGCTGGTCCTTCGTGTTGGCTGTTTCTTCTCTTCGCTACTACTCGCGTGGATTGGCCAAACTTTATTAATTAATTTCTTTTTTATTATTGAGAAAATCGCAAAACGGTAAAGGATTTTTTTACTCAGTTTGACTTGCTCTATCTGCACCTTACGGGTGGGGCGCGAGTTATTAGACACTCTGTATTTATATTTATATAAATTCTATATAAGTTTCAACATAAAACTTTTTTTTAACTTACAAAGTTATTTTATTACATATTTGAAATAATAATTAATTTGAACGTTGCTTTAATTTAGATTTTATATGTTACAGATAACACGTGTAGATTTGACATCAATTACTTAAGTCTCCCGCTGTTGTGCATCGGTGTCAGTAAGTGATAAGTTAATTTTTATTTAATTTTTTGAGGTAACGGATTTATAGATCGTAGTTGTAGATTGTGTAGATTGTAGATTTTATAGATTGTAAATTGTAGATAAGTTAAGTGTTAAAGATAGATTCGTTACCTTAAAATGTATAGACTAGAATTAAATCATTCTTACTTAGATTGGACTTTGGATAAATGACTTTAATATACATAATTAAAGCATATTGCATAAGTGTAAATTAAAATATAAATAAAAGAACGATATAAAAAATTCAATTCAGATTTCACTTATTTGTTTTATTTAAAAACCGCGCTTGTGATTTTATTTATTGTACATATTAACAACTGCATTATATATAAAAATAATTTATTTTTTTAACAAACGTTGATTGTTCTAATTTTTTGTAACATAACGTCGTCATTGATCAAAATTGGTTATATATATATTTTTCTAACAATATATATATAAATTTAACAATGTATGACAAATCGTGATTTCTTACGGTCATATCCGAGTGTAAAATTACACTCATGCACTGGCGGTAATGATAATTATAGCCGGAAACGGAAGGAATCTCTCTCCTTCATTGATATCTCTGATAGAGATTAAAGTTACACTGACTAGATGTAGCCAGAATGATTGTGGTCAATAAAGGTAAGTCCACTGGCCTAAAAAATAATTAATTTAATCATATAAATTACGCTATAACGGGTTTAAATTGTTCAAATAGATACACCAAATTAATTCACATACACAATACTGTATTCGTTTTATACTTTTTGATACTTTTTATACAAATTTTGAATCATAGAATAAATTAACTATATTCTTAAAAAGTTATTAGATTTCAAGGAATAATGTACGAAACGAATATTATGAAACATTACGAAAAATATTTATAACTTTATAAAATAATTTTTTCATATTCAGTTTTTTTCGGTGTGTTTAAAGTTAGCATTTTATTTTGTGAAAATTCATAAATAATTAAGAATTCTGACTTTATTTACTCTAGACTGTGTTGTACGTTCGAAAATATGTTCACCTAGAGTCAATTGGGCTTCGACCAATCGGAGCCCGAGGATCTCTATTCTGATTGGCCGGGCGAGCTTCATCTTAGACAAGAATAGAGTTGCGGATACAATCTAGGTTGCTAACCACTGGTTCGCCGCGCCACCGCGCATGCGCACACATCCCCACCACTCCGACTTGCTTCTTCCTGCAACAAAGCTTCGGTTTGGGACTGAGGCTTGCGTGCTTTTTTGCCGGTCCGGTCCGCGACAGTATACGAGTGCGAATGTTAACAGTGTCGAGTATCTTTATATGGTTAATCGTCGCATAAGTCCGATCGCGCGTCTCTGGTCGTATTTCCGTGTCGTCGTGTCGAAGGTCGTTGGGCGCCATGAAAAGCTCGTAATCAAGTACGTCGCGACGCGCCGCCATGTTGCTCGGCATCGTACGTTGGGCCTCTGCCGTGAACCGTCGAGTCGGAAATACTCGGCAAAGAGCGAGAAATACATATATTCATTGTTCATTATCGAAATACGCGACGACCGCGAGTGTATATAGTGCTCGAGAAATGCTCCTTTCGCCGGATTCTCGCTCGAGGAGCTGAAATGGTGCAATCACGAAATGGTGCCGTATGCATTCGCGAAATGGTGTCGTGTGCAAGGTGCTCGGACGATTTCCGACATTCGCCAGTAGTCATTTCGATTCTTATCTATCGAATTTCGGCGACATTTCGACGCTCCGTTGTTCGGAGTTATCGCGCGTCGAAGCTCCTGCGCGATTT